CACTGGTGTGAGATGGTATCTCATTGTAGTTTTGATTTGCGTTTCCCTGATTGCAAGTGACGTTGAACATTTTTTCATATGCCTGTTGGACATTTGTATTTCCTCTTTGGAGAAGTTTCTTTTTAGCTCTTCTGCCCATTTTTTGACTGGATTGTTTTCTTTGTTTTTGTTGAGTCTCATCAGCTCTTTGTAGATTTTTGTGATCAGTCCTTTATCATTAGTGTTGTGTGCAAAAATGTTCTCCCAGTTGGTGGGGTTTCTCTTTGTTTTGGTTATTGTCTCTTTTGCTGTGCAGAAGCTCTTTAATTTGATGTAGTCCCAGCTTTATCTTTGCCTTCACTATAACTGCTTTGGGTGATGCATCTGTAAAGATGTCTTTGAGGTGCATGTCATGTAGTGTTTTGCCGATATTTCCTTCTATATATTTTACGGTTTTAGGTCTTATGTCTAATTCTTTAATTCATTTTGAGTTGGTTTTTGTGCATGGTGTGAGGTAGTAGTCAAGCTTCATTCTTTTGCATGTAGCGACCCAGTTTTCCCAGCACCATTTATTGAACAAACTTTGTTTGTTCCAGTGCATATTCTTTGCTCCGTTGTCAAAGATAAGTTGACCATAGATCTGTGGGTTTATTTCTATTTGGTTCCATTGGTCCATGTGTCTGTTCTGATTCCAATACCATGCAGTTTTGATTATTATGGCTTTGTAGTATAGTTTGAAATCTGGGCGAGTGATGTCTCCATTCCCTTCTTTTTTTTTCAGGAGGGTTTTGGCTATTCAGGGTTTTTGGTGGCTCCATATGAAATTTCATCAATTTTTTTCTATTTCTTTGAAGAATGACATTGGAATTTTAATTGGAATAGCATTGAATCTGTATATTGCTTTTGGTAGGATGGCCATTTTGATAATGTTAATTCTTCAGATCCATGAGCAGGGGATGTCTTTCCATTTCTTTGTGGCTACTTATATATTTTTTAACAGTGTTTTATAATTTTCTTTGTATAGGTCCTTTACTTCTTTTGTTAGGTTTATTCCCAGGTATTTGATTTTTTTTTTGTTTCAATAATAAAAGGAATGGTTTTCTTGATTTCTTCTTCTTCAGATATATTGTTTGTGTATAGGAAGGCTACTGATTTTTGTGTGTTGATTTTGTATCTTGCCACTTAACTAAACTGATTGATTAGTTTAATTAGTTTTTCTGTGGAGTTTTTGGGGTTCTCTATGTATATTATCATATCATCCGCAAATAGGGATAGTTTGCCTTCTTCCTTGCCTGTTTGGATTCCTTGCATGTCTTTCTCTTGTCTTATTGCTCTGGCTAGGGCTTCCAGTATTATGTTGAAAAGCAGTGGTGAGAGTGGACATCCTTGTCTTGTTCCAGATCTTAATGGAAATGCTTTCAGATTTTCACCATTGAGAATGATATTGGCAGTGGGCTTGTCATAGATGGCCTTTATGATGTTGAGGTATGTTCCTTGTATCCTGAGAATTTCAAGGATCTTTATCATAAATGGGTGTTGTACTTTGTCGAATGCTTTCTCAGCATCTATGGATATTATCGTATGGTTTTTATATTTCTTTTTGTTGATGCGTTGATTGATTTTTGGATATTGAACCATCCTTGTGTCCCTGGAATAAATCCTACTTGGTCGTGGTGAATTATCTCATGGATGCATTGTTGGATTCTGTTGGCAAGGATTTTGTTGAGGATTTTTGCATCAGTGTTCATTAGGGAGATTGGCCTGTAATTTTCTTTTTTTGTGCTGTCTTTGTTGGGTTTGGTATTAGTGTAATGTTGGCTTCATAGAATGTATTTGGTAGTATTCCTTCTTTTTCAATTTTTTGAAAGAGTTTATGTAAGATAGGCACTAATTCACTGCTGAACGTTTGGTAGAATTCATTTGTGAAGCTGTCTGGGTCTGGGCATTTGTTTTTGGGGAGTGCTTTGATTACTGCTTCAATTTCGCTGCTTGTAATTCATCTGTTTAGTTGTTCTATTTCTTCTTTGTCCAGCTTTGGATGATTATATCATTCTAGGAATTTGTCTATCTCTTCTAGGTTGTTAAATTTGTTTGCGTATAAGTGTTCATAGTAATCTCTTATTATTCTTTTGATTTCTACTGTGTCTGTTGTGATCGCTCCCCTTTCATTTATAATCCTATTTATACGTGTTTTCTCCCATTTTTTCTTTGTGAGCCTTGCTAGAGGTTTGTCTGTTTATTTTTTCAAAGAACCAACTTTTGCTAGAGGTTTGTCTATTTGTTTATTTTTTCAAAGAACCAACTTTTGGTTTCATTGATCTTTTGGATTGTTTTTTTAATTTCCAATTCATTTATTTCTGCTTTGATTTTTATTATTTCCTTTCTTCTACTGGCTTTAGGGTTTTTTTGGAGTTCTTTTTCTAGTTCTTTGAGATGTGAGGTTAGGTTGTTTTTTGGAGTTCTTTCTTGTTTGTTGATGTGAGCCTGTATTGCTATATATTTTCCTGTTATTACTGCTTTTGCTGCATCCCATACATTCTGGAAAGTGGTGTCCTCCTTGTCATTCAACTCAAAGTATTTTTTAATTTCTTCTTTGATCTCCTCATTAGTCCAGTGGTCTTCCAGTAGTGTGGATTTCAATCTCCATGAAGTGGGAAGGTTCCTTGTTTTCTTTTCATGATTTATTTCTAGCTTGATGCCTTTATGATCAGAGAAGATAGTTGGAATGATTTTGATTTTCATGTATCTGTTGATGTTTTTCTTGTGGCCTGGTATGTGATTGATTCTGGAGAATGATCCATGAGCACTTGAGAAAAATGTGTAGTCAGATTTTTTTGGGTACAGTGTCCTATAGATGTCTGTTAAGTCCATAAGTTCTATGTCTTTATTTAGGGCTCTAGTGTCTTTGTTTATTTTTTGTCTCGTTGATCTGTCCATTGGTGAGAGTGGGGTGTTGAAGTCTCCCACTATGTATGTATTTTCTTTAATATCTATTTTCAGAGCTGATAATAATTGTCTAATATATTTTGGTGCCTTTTGGGGCATTTTTTGTAACCTTTCTTGTCCTATCCAAAGGAGAGCGCAAAACCCAAAGCATTAACTAGGCAATACTTTTAAATCCCTTCACTTTTGCTACCATGACCAAAAGCAATCACAGGATCCAATCAGCCAATTTTCCTGGGCATTGGAGCTATCATTTTCAAATATTCATGGATAACCTATACCTCAAAAAAGATACCATTTCAGTGCTGTTTCATATTATAAATGACTAGGTAGCCATTGGGCATTGAAGGTTCATCACTGTGTCCTCTTTTTTTTTTTAAAGATTTATTTTATTTATATAAGTGCTGGGGTACAGGTCAGATGTGTGGGAGGGTGAGAGGATTCACCAGAGACAGAGTGGAGAACAGAACAGAACAGGCAGACTTACAAAATACACTGCTGAGGGGAGCAGCAGGCCAGACAGGAGAGGTCTGTCACACCATGTGGGATTCTCGCTAGCCAGCCGGCATCAAATCCATGCTGCAGAGGCTGTGAACAGCTTCACAGGGTGGCACTCAACTGCCTGCACCACTAGGGAGGCCCCATCACTCTGTTCTCTTCATCCTTTTTCCAAACACTGTTTTAGCCATATTTCAATGAGCTGGATTATTTTTAGCAAACCCCATTTCTGACACCAACTATCAACCCTAGTTTGGGGATTTCCTGGAAGAAACCATAGGACTGAACATATAGTTGTACTCATTGATAAGATTTACTGCATTTAAAGGATACAAATCAAATTAGAAAAAAGAAAAAGCACTAAGTCTAGAGGAAGCAGGGAAAAGCTGCTTAAAGTCTTTTCCCAGTGATGTCCCATAGGATGTGCTTAATTCTTCCAGCAGTGAGTTGAGGCAATGCATGTAAAATGTCTATATGCTCACTAGAGACTGAGTGCCCAGGGCTTTTACTGGGTGCTTGTCATGTAGACATGGACTGAATGTCTCTGATCATCTAAAATTCATGTGTGGTCATCTAATATAAAATATTTTGTTATTTGGAGGTAGGGTCTTCGAGAGTAAAATAGGTCATGAAGGTGGAGCCCTCATGAATGGAATTCTTGCTTCTGATGGTCAATTTTTTGTCAACTTGACTGACTGTGGGGAGCTAGATTAAACATTGCTCCTGGGTGTGCTTGTAAGGGAGTTCCTAGATGAGATTAGCATTTGAATAGATGGATTCAGCAAAATGAACTGCCCTCCCAATGCAGGTAGGCAACATTCAATAAATTGAGGACTGAACAAAAAAAAAGGCAGAAGGGGAATATTGCCCCCTTTTTCTTGTTTACATTTGTGTGTGTGTGTGTGTGTGTGTGTGTGTGTGTATATATATATATAATATCATACATCTACATATGTATGTAATATGTCAATTAAACGAGACCCCTTTATCTTATGAGCAGGATTTTATATTGCTTTGTTGTTGCTTACTTTGTTGTTGCAATATTGCTTTGTTGTTGTTGTTTTTAATTAAGGAGTATATCTAACTCTAGATATGACATGCCAATAGCTGGCCACTTTGCAGGTTATGATCAATCTGTCCCTTGTAAGTGGCCTCATTGCAGGCTGCCTAGAGCTGACAAGCATGTTATGAAGGTCATGCTCCATCATTATTTACAGCTTGAGATGCCTCTGACAGCAAAGCACAGGGAAAATCAGGGGTGGACTGTGATTCCCACCCTTAGGCTGTGAGAAACAAGCTTCAGCAATGGAAGGATTAAAGAGCCTCTCAGTTTAAAAGGAAGGGGGAGCGAGGGGTATGTGGGCTGCACAATTTATAAATAGACATTACCCAAGGAGGCCTAATGGTCAAGTGGTTTTTAGTAAATCTCTCTCTTTTAAGGATCCCATTATCAAAGAGCACTTGAAAATACCACTTTCACTTTATCTTTTTTGGGAAGATACCGGGTTTCATCAAGTCAGCCTTCTTGCATGATATTCTCTCTGCCAGATTTAGGATTCAAGATTTTGAATCAATTTTGCATGGCGCACAAAGATGATGACAATGATGATGACGATGATGACAATGATGACAATGACAATGATGTGATTTTTGCCAAATGGATGAGCAGTTTTGTTACAGGGCAGGGAGAGAGGCACCCCAGAACCCCCAAACCTGCCTGGACTAAATAGGTTCTCCCATCTGCCGCATCAAGACAAAACATATAAGACCTTTAATGGAAAGGAACTTTAATACAATTTATGTGCAATACAGAAAAGACAGATAATATAGTTTCCAAATCAAGCACCCGAAGTTACCCGTCCCCTCATGGGTAAATGTCCCACTAAACAGGATTGGCCCAAAGCAAGGCCCGTAAGCCTGCCACAAGTCTAAAGCACCTTCCAGTGGGAAGCCATAAAAAAGGGTCAGAAACAGTCAGGCAAGTCTGGGAGGAAAAGAGTAAAATCAAAACCAAGATAAAAGCTGCTATTGTTAACCTCCCCATGGGTCTCTCACCTTCATTTGTTTTAACCAGACCAGGACCAAGAAGCAAGTGCATTTTCTTCACGTGTCTCTCTGTTCCATGTCCCTCCTCCAGGTCTCCTCCTTGTTCTCTATCCTGCTTCCTTCCTTCTTCAGTCTCCTCTCCAGCTTCTTCTCCTCCCTATTCAGTTCCACCCTCCTTGGGGTGGGCCAGGGAACCTGGAACGTCCCCTTTTCCTAGGGACTGCTCTGTTAGAGTTTCTGGGGTCACAGCTGGGTAGAGGAGAATGAGAGAGGGCCCATCATGGATTTCAGGATGCCAGTTACAGGAAAACCTCTCTGACCTGCTCAGTGGGTTATCACAGCCAGGGGAGAGCTGGGCTAGGGAAGTGGGTGTCTCTTAGATAATTTTTGAAGAGTGTCTTTGCATAAAGTTTTCCTTTGGTTGAAAAGCAGTGTTTCCAAACCGTTTTTTTGTATATCCACAAAAATCTCTGTTATCATTTTATCTTCTCCTCTGAGACCTGATTTTCATCTATTAGGTAATGATTTCCTTTTTAGTAACCTAAGATATGTTTAACTGTTTAGAGCCCCTGCTAGGACTGAAATAATTCTACTACATGAAAATACAGTTTAAGTAAAAAAAAAAAAAAAAAAAAAGAAACTTGATGTTATAGTTCATCCACATAGCATTGGCGTGGCTTAATGTATGATTTCCAATTGTCGTTTTGACATACTGAAAAAACTTTTATTTAGTAACCTCTAAGGAATTAGTGATTCCACATAGTAAGTCACTACCTTAGATAAATTTGATGTACATTTTCTTCTGGTTCCCAACTGGTTTCTTGATGATAAATCCAGAATTTTCTTCCCCTCAGCATTATTTTCCCCTGGGCTAGGGAGGGCATCTGGTGCCTTGGGAGCAAGACGTGAGCAGGCAAGATGTGAACAAGTTCCCAGGAGGGAAATGGGTGGGTCTGACCAGGTGTGGACTTAGCAGCAGGTACAGACACTGGTTCCCTCTATTTGATGCGGAGCTAGAAGTAGACACATAGGGTCTCTGCTTCACAGTTACAAGGGGGTAATACAGCTTTGGTTTTTCATGAGTCACTTAATTCTAAGTCACTTAATTCCAGCCACCAGAGAATACTATCCTAACCCCCTGCTGTTTCCAACCTCAGAACCAAATAAATTTTGGGGGTAATTTTTTATTTTGCTTTCCTTTCAGCTCCAGGGGTCTCAGATGCATAATGCTTATGAAGCATAGTAAAATGTATAAGGCACCCTCTTTTACTCTCAGTGGTCAGCAAGTTAGAGGAATGAGATCTGTTTGAGACATATTATTTGAAACTATATCTCTTAAGTTTTAACACTTCTTTGAACATCAGGTTCTTTAAGAGAAAAATAAAAAGGGTTGGATTGCATTATCTCCAAGAACCCTTCTAGTTCTAACTTGCCATGATTCTATTATAAAAGAAACACATGCTTATCACACTCTCTTTTTAATCTCTATGTTCCACAATGAGTGAGACATTAATTATGTGTGAGTATGATTAGTTTCCAGTTTCCAGATAGTGAGAACCAAGAAGAAACAAAGAAAAAATTATGATTTTCTATTTATCACAGCAGTCCTTTGGGGCCACAGAAAACATGAGAACAAAGGAAGAAGCATAAGATATAGTTTCTTGAATACATTTTAGCTTCCATTAGACTTTAAAATCAGAAAATTCTAAAAATGGCTCCAATTTCAACTCATGAGGATGATTCATTGCAGTGCACACTAAATCTTGATGACTACTCACAAATATTATTTATGGAGCTTCTTTTTAACATGATACAGAATGCATTTGGAAATAGAACATTATACTTGATATAGACTTAAGTAGAATTGTTCTAATTAAAACTTATGCAAGACAAAATGTCCCTAACACATTATGCCTTTTCTGGAGGGATTCTCAAGTGATATGTAGAAGAGGAAATGGTGTGGCATTTGTAACCCAGGAAACTATATTCCTCACTGAGCTGGTGTACCTGTTGTTACCCCTGTCTGGAATATTCAATGGAGTGAAACCTCAGAGCTGTTGGATATTAATGAAGTCGATGCATGCCTCATTGTGTTCAATAATAGCCTTTCAGTTTAAAAAAAAAAACAACAGCAAACAATTCACCCTATTTGAAGAATTCACTGTTAGGTTGTAATGTTTTTTGTCTTAAACTCCTGGGGAATAGCAAAATTTGTTATGTATAACATTTTAAAACAGTATTTATATGACATTGATATCTTCTGCTTATATGGTTTTGGACATTTGTCTGAATTAACCTGTTCAGAGTCTGAGTCACTAATGAATTCCATAATTATCAGACGAACATGCAGAAAGCATGTGTTTATTTAGGAAGACAAAGCTTGGAATTAAAATGAGAATTTGACTATATAAAGAGCACGTAGATCAGGGGCCCCAGGAAAGATATGGACAGAGTCCAGGAAAAGATTCCTGAAACCTGGTTCTGTGTCCTCTAGTCACATAATGCTATTTATTACTAAGTGAATCTGTAGTTAGCTACATATTTCCTTATGTCTAAATGCACTAATTTCCCCCCTTACTTTAGAGATAGGGAAAATATTGGGTTTTCAATTCTTGCTCTTTGCTTTGAACTCAATGAAAACAATGTAAACGTGAAAGTTTACTTCCTACATTATCTTTTTTTCCTACTCCCCCTACTGCTTCAGTTCAAGACCTTTCTATCTTGCAACCTGTTAATAACCATATCCATCAACATCACATGCATAGAAAGAGAAGAGTTTCCCTTTCTTTCCTATTTGAATGTGGTTTCTAACATGGCTTTATAATCTCATGTTTCATACAAAACCAGAGGGATGGAGCATTAATTCATTGAACGTATTTGTTGAATACCTATTACATGCTTAGCATTGTGGTAGGCACAATAGGATGACAGGGTAAAAGAAGACATGCATGATCTCTGTGCTTGTGGACCTTCTAGTCTAACAGAAAGTGCAAATGTGGCAGAAAGAACAAGGTATATAAGTATATAAGGAATAAGCTTAGTCCTTCTCATTTTGTCTTAATGTCCTTGGTGGAAAAAAGTGAATAGGAAGTCCCTCTGGTTAGCAAATCTATCTGCCTTCTCCCTCCATCATCACAGGAATACAAAACTGAAGTAGAAGTTTCCATATTACTTATTTAGTCTACTTGAATGTGAGTTTTTAACACTTCAATCTATCCAGCTTTCCAGTCACCTTCTCTTTCAATTTAACATGGTTCTCATAACCTTGCTCTATATAGTTCAGACACAGTGGAAGGGATGATTACGCTAAATGAAAGACCTCTTTGAGGCGCAACTGATTCATTGGTCTTAGACTTTGCTAATTCCAAATAGACTCTCTTACTTCTTCTGAGCTCTAACTTAGGCACAAGATGTGCTTCTCCACAGGATAGAATTACAAGGGATAAGGGATACAAAGTAATCCCAGTATTGAGCTTATTTTATCATTTCTTAAAATGCTACCATTTTACCAGTTGAACACTTGAATCTTTTTCCCACTGATGCTGTTCTCATATATAGCTGTTTAACTAATTTGTATCTCTTTTGGCCCTGATGGTAGCATTAGATCATGTCATAAAATATTACATACAATTTTTTTAGACTAACCCCTAAAAACCTAAAATTATTACTTTTGCAATAGAATTCTATTAAAAATTAGTACATTGCTAAAAGTCACATTTATAGTCATTTTCACATAGAAATAGAATGAAGTTGTTGTTAAAAACTTTAGAATTATGAATTCAGGAAAGAGTTATCTCATACTTAAGCATGCCACCTTATCTCTCCAGCAAAGTCTCTTAGCCAAAATAAGACTCATTGTCCTCATCTGTGAAAGGGGAAGAATGACTCCCTTACAGGATTTCTTTTCTGAGATTGGAAATCAAGGTCATGGTCCCCAGAGTTCCTGGTATGTGCCCTGCACTGAGATTCAACAAGGATCTTATTATCATGAAGCTTCTGGATCTTTCTCCTCATGGTGTCTCATCTTGCAATTAATGTGTAAGTGAGGCTTTTGTTTATACTGTGAGTAGGAGGGGTAGAATTGATGCATGATTGCAATGAAAGCCAAGGTAAAGAGCATCAAGCAGTTAAGTCCTTGAGGTGAAGCTATTACATCATTGATTTCTTCTTGAATGGGAACCTGTGACTTGGGGTTAGAATGAATAGGGCTTTCCCTTGACAGAAATGGTTTTCTGGGACCACAGTGTAAATAATTGTGTTTAGAGTACTTGTCTGCAGATCGAGTCAGTGGGCTGGGCATGTGCCTGCTGCATGTGTTGTGGCCAGGGAGCCCAGGAGCCCTGCTGGTGAATTGAGAGCGTGAGGGGAAACTGCTCTCAATGTCAAAGACTGCTGCTCAGTGTGGGAGGTAGACCCATAAGGCAAGTCCATGACCGTGCAGCACAAGCACCTACTGTGGGAAAACAAGCTATGTAGGGTGTCGATTCATGTCTCTGTGAGGGAAAATACTTTAGAAAGGTAGACAGAATTCCGAAGGAGAGTTTGCATAGTAATAACATTTTTTCAAGTGAGAGCTTCTTGCCATCAACATTTAGAATGTTCATTTAAGCTTGTTTCTCGTAAAGGCATATCTCCAAACTGTAAATTCTGATATGAGATATGGAGTATATGCTTCTTTTAGATTGTGACCAAAACCATTGCCATTATATCAGGCCTCTCAGTCAAAGAGGACATTTGCACAAACGTCTGCATTTCACTTCCAGTCTCAAAATATTTTGCTTAAAATTTTTACTATACTATACTAGGAGCACTTTACATGAGATCTATGGCCTAGCAGGTTTTAAAGTAAACAATACAGTATTATTAACTATAGGCATGCTGATGTAAGTAGACTATAGAATTTTTTTATCTTGCATAACTGTAACTATCGATGAGTGTCTCCATTTCCCCCACCTCCTAGACCCTGGCAACCACCATTCTCTTCCTCACTTCTATGAGTCTGACTGTTTTAGGTATGTCATATAAGTGGAATCATGTAGTTTTTGTCCTTCTGTGTCACAGTCTCAACTTTGTAAAATATTATTTTTTCCCTGATAATATACAATTACTCTAGAACACTTAGAAAATAATAAAAGGAGAAAGAAGAAAATAATCCCACATCCTAAAAAAAATATTAGATCACAATTGGGTATGTTTTAAGACTGCCCATCTATGTTATTACCCTAGTTCAAACCCTTTAACACCTTCCCATTGCAGCCCTCTCTCTCTCCATCAGTCTCTCTCCCTCTCCAGCCCTATGAGGCAGCTCTTCCTTCCACACCTTCAGAGGCAGGCACCTTCCATGGCAGGGCCACTGTGCCTGTGGTGCTCATCCATAGGCAGAAAAATATTTTGTCCCCCAGTTGGCCCTTCTTGTCCTTCATATTGTAGCTTGATCATTTCTTCATGGAAGTCTCCCCTGATCCTCCCAAACACCCCAATAACCACCAAACAAAAAATACAATTTTACCCAGTTATACTCTTTAATTGCACCACGAATTTTCCCTTTTTAGCATTTGTTCAAGGATGTAGACCTACATATGCCCTATTGATTTAATGTCTACGTACACATTAGACCCTCCATGGACACTTACTGTTTTGCTCTCTAACTTATCCATGGCACCAAGTACCCTGTCTGACCTACACAAATGGACTAATCTATACAGATTTGCTGCATGTATCTTAGCAGTTTTATAAATCTTCAACCATATTTCTGATTATTAGTTGAGAATAAGTTTCTAGACATATGTATCAATTTTCTAGGGCTGCCATAACAAAACAGCACAAAATGGGTGACTTAACAGAAACTTATTTTCTCATAATTGTGGTGGCTGGAAGTCCATAGTAAAGGTGTCACCAGGTGTGATTTCTTCTGGGACCTCCCTTGGCATGTAGAGAGCCACCTTCTGTGTCCTCATGTCTTTCCTCTGTGTGAGCAGATCCCTGGCATCTCTCTGTGTCCAAATTTCCTCTCTTTATAAGGACCTCTGTCAGAATGGATTAAAATTAATCTTTCAAGAGCCTCTTTTCCAATTGTGAATTTAACATTGATGCCATTATGTTATGTGCTCTCTTTTTCTGCCTTATGTGAGATAGACTTATCTTCAAATTATTTATTTTTTTAAATGAAAGCTTTGTATTTTTTAAAAGATTTATTTATTTATTTATTTATTTATGCATATAAGAACTGGGGTACAGAGGAGCGGTGGGTGAGAGGATTCACCAGAGACAGTGTGGGGAACAGAACAGGCAGACTGACCAAAATACACTGCCAAGGGGAGCAGCAGGCGAGTCAGGAGAGGTCTGCTGCACTATGTGGGTCACCTCCCTGGCCGGGGATTGTACTTGTGCTGCAGTGTATGCAGACAGCATCATAGGCTGTGTCTTAACCCCTTTGCACCACCAGGGAGGCCCCCAAAGTATTTATTAAACATTAGTAACATCTAGTCAATATTTACAAAGTTTTTTGTCTAGCATTTGATTTTGTTTATGTTGTTTTATGCATCTTAGCTTTATTTTTATACAGTTAATTTTCCCCAATAACCTCTACCACAACTCTTTAGTTTAGAAACTTTTCCTTCATAGGGAAATCATATTGATAGTTACTTTTATATTATTTCTTAAATATTTATGGCTTTGTCAACTTATTTTTTAGAATTTGTATTTGCATATAAATTTAAGGCTTGGAACACTTCATTATACTCCCTGAATGGTGGAGAAGAAACAAAACTAGTTTGGGGATGTTCTGATTAATATTTTAACCAGTTGACTCATTGTAGTCAATGAGTTTAACTCATTGTAGGAGAAAAGTCCTATTGATAAAGAAGATGAAATTTCAGTTCAACATGAGATTTGCTTAATTTATGAACATTGTGTCTTTGTGATAATATTTTGCAGTCTTTTTTTATTATAAAAATTTTTGTTTTGTATTCCTGGCTTCCTCCGCTTCCCCAAATCACATTATCTGAGAGGCATCCTAGAAGACATTCTCATGAAGATCAGGGATTTCCATGCAGTACCCACTTGCAAGATTACAGAAAATGCTCAGGGGTTGGGTCACTCAAGGAGCCACTGGAATCAAAAGGAAGATCCCATTCCAAAATTCACGCATTTTCAGAGTCTTTTGAACAGCAAATGTGCTTTAGAACCAAATGCTCTGTTTCTTTGGTATGTAAGAATTACTGAATTTTAAAACCACTTTTGTAAAGGAAATATAAAGTGTTCAAACACATACTCCCCAAGTTTGAAGAAGACCATTAGACTTTTTCATTTACATGAATGAATGTCTTTGAAAATTGGCCCTCAGTTTTAGATAGCACAGATGACATAATTTTGAAAAATCATTGCTTCTATTGTGAACATTTGGAGTAGGAAGATTTCCTGGAGGAACATACATGGATGTCATTGTTACTGAAGTCCACTAGTCTTTGAACCTGTTTTCTCCCTTATCATAAATAGCTGTGACTTACTCTCTTTCAACTATTTGAAGAAGAGAAAAACTGCCCCCATGCTTCTGTCCTGTCATATTTAGATCAGTGGCAAATAGTCTATGATGTTGCTGTGTTCCTTTGTACTTTTACATTTATTTTTTCCCTTCTGTACTTTTAAAAAGCATTCAGAGGAAGCTCTGGACATCATCTAATAAGCATTCAGGAGTGGGAGAGGGCCAGGTGCTCACAGTGCCTTGTGGGAAAAGTACCAAAAACATTAGGCCTGAAATGGGGGTGAACAGAAACTCTACTGATAATTCAAACGTGATGCATAAAGTAATTAGAGAGCAATTAATTTGGGATAACTTTTTGAACTCTGCAACATGCTCACTGTGTGACTTTGGTTTTATGTTTTTATCTTGCAAGACAGAAATAACAATTTATTTCTGCTGCATAGTAAGTGGACCAAGGTGTATCCGCCACCTGAAACTTGAGGTAGGCACTGTGAATGTACAGGGGAGGCATTGGGTGCTTCTGACGTTGTTGTTTATCTGAGCACAATCTGAACTTTCTGCTTATCAGTGTTGCATGTTGGGACTACCACCAGGACTCTCTGCCTTGCAGGAAACACCTCACTTTTGTCAGTGACCCCGTGTATCTATGTTTCTCTCCTTCAGTAAATTACTTTCTCATCTGATCATAAAAGGAATAAGAAGAGTGAACAATTGTAGCTTACTGTGTCTAAATCTTATTAAGAGTTCCTATCCTGACTTTTGCTTATTTTGCTTTTTGATATAATTTCAAACTTAGAACAATGTTGCAACAACAGTACAAAGAATTCCCATACACCCTTCACCTAGATGCTCTCCAAATGTTAACATGTTACCAAATTTCTCTATATCCTGTTTCTGCTTCCTACTCCCAAATAAGGGCACAGATCATTCTCTTATATAAACAGTACAGTGATTAAACTCAGGAAATTAACTCCCATACAATACTTTTGTATAAATCTACTGGCCTTATCCATATTTTGCCAGTTATTCCAATAATATTCTTTATAAGGAGATTCCAGATCATTTGTTGAGGCCAATTTTCATGTCCCTCTAGTGCATTTTATTCTGGAGCACTTTTCTGGATTTTTCTTTCATGAAACTGGCATCTAAAAAGCAGACTGTTTACTTTTTAGAATAATCTCCTATTTTCATATATATGATATTTCCTTATGACTAGATTCAGTTTCTAAACTTTTGGCAGGAAAAAGGCAGAAGAGACAGAATTCTTGTTTAAAACCATTGAAATCAATACTTATAAATTTCATTTAAAGAATTTTAAAATTGTGAAATATTAAAAAATAAAGAAGAGTATAATATGATTAAAAAATAATTAATTTGGGAGGCTTACCTGCTATAGATTCTTTCTGGAACAAGTTAGGGTAAATAAAATTTTGAAAGAAAAATTAATCTGAATCTTTATTGATTCTGGTTGCCTCAGGAAAAGTTTCATATAACACATAATTTTATATAACTGCTTATATGAAATCCATTTGCTAATATTATCATAGACCCTGAAAGTGTAAATGTGAAATTGCTTTCCTTATATAAAGAGATTACTCATCACATTATTCCTAAAATGTATGTTCACTTCATTCATTTCCCAAGTTCTTCCTTTTGCATGCCAAAGTAAATAAGGTGAATTTTCAACCTTTTTGACTCAAAAGCCCTTTTCATAATTATATATAATACTTACAGTCTGTTAACAACTTACAAAATATTTTTTTAAAAAATAATATATTTAAAATTTAAAATATAGTTAATTTTAAATTAAATTTATTATCTTATATCAGTTTCAAGAGTATATTATGAAGTTTATCGTATTACAAAATTAAAATTCAGAACACATATACTTTAAAACATTTCTTCTATTTAACAGTTGACACACTTAAACCTTGAGCAACACCCCTAAGGTTTGTTAATTTGCTACTAGAAACTAAGAAACTAAGATGTGGAAGCCTACTGAATGATCAGGGCTGTCTTCTTTTTGGATTAAGTGTGGGACATTGTCAGCTTTGGTACATTTCTACCCTTTCCTGACCTTTCTCTTTCAGGGATATGAGAGCAGAAAGGAGAGAAATGAAAGAGAATGCCTGATGATGGAGATAAGATCCAGCAAGAAGGTGGAGGGAGGAAGGAGCTCTAGGAAGGAAGTACATGGAGAAACATACTTTCTTGCATTGTTTGAAAAAGTACTACTACTTTTTTCCACATCACCACGGCAGATGGCTTTTGAGTCTGAACACACCAAATCAAGGGTGGTAGCTGAACAGTGTCTGCAGATGCTGCGGTCACTGGAATGGGTGTTTATATCATATTTCAACTACTTCTGACGTCTCTGTTGAGAGTGCAGTCTACTTTATTGCCGTTTATAGGAATAAGAAGAATAAAAGGTATTTTAATAGAATAAAGTAATTCTTGAAAATGTAAAGAAAGATATTTAAAGAGCCACCCACACCTCTTCACTAATTCTTCTTCCATGCCAACCTTGTAAATCATCTTAAATGAAAGTCATGGTGTGACTCTAAGTTTACTTCCTTATTAGAAGTACTTATGTAAGCATGTCTAATGGCCATCATTTAGTGAGAGCTGGTAATTAACATGCCAACTATGAGGTTGAGTGCTTTAATGCATGACCTAAAATAATCCGTACCTCTCCGAGGTGGGACCTATTCTCTTCAGTTTCTGGCTTAGGGAACCAAATTTTGAAAAGTTCAGTAATTCATTTCTGGCAAAGTTAGGACCAGAGCCCAGTTCATTCTACCAATGTTCCTAACCTGAGGCAGGACCTTCATTTCCCTTGCAAGTGGGTCCTGACTTGGACATGTGTGATGTGTGTGTGAAAAGAGGGAGTGTGAGTATATTATGGTTTTGATTACATGGGGGGAGATTGATTCTCTGAGGCTAGTTTTATGCTCTGGGAGTTATCACTATGAGGCCATATTCTTTTCCTTGTCTTTTTTTTTAACTTTATTGAACTATAATTGACAAATGAAATTGTATATGTATTAAGTTATTCAACATGATGATTTAACATACATGTACTTTATGAAATGATTCCCACAATCATTCCCAGGTTAATTAAAACATCAAGACCATCTTCTATTACTATTTTTTCCCCAGAAGAAATGATTTTAGAATTCTCTAATAGTTGCTGTATTTGTTCTGTTTCTGTCTTTTTGTGTATAACTATGTGTGTGTTGTGTGTACACAAACATAATAGTCTGGAAAGATTGTGGACAAGTATTAACCATGCTTATCAATGAGTAGGTAGAATAAAAGCTTTTTAATGTTTATTCTTTTTCTTTATACACCACAGGGATAGCTTGGATCATAAATGCTCAAGGGCAGCTAGAATTTCTATTTTGTTAAGAACAAAATCTCCCAACAGCTACTCACAACTAATACTGTAATTGAGTGCTTATGTAACACACACACACACACACACACACACACACACTCTCTCACACTTCCCTCCATCTCAGGCCTTTTATACTTGCCTGATAATATTTGGATATAGGTGATTAAATAAAATGTTATTCAAATTAATTTTACCTATTTTTTCCTCTGGAAAAAATTACTAGAAAATTTAAAATTACATCTAAAACTTGTTATATTTCTATTGGACAGTACTGACCTATATATACCCTGAATATTTCTTAAACTTCTCTGGGACTATTTCAGTTTTATTTTTTTAAGTCCAACTGAACTTAAAATGCATTAGAATTTAATTAACCCATGGTGCTATTAGGAGTTAACTGCCTTAATATTAGTTACAACATCTTAAATTTATTATACCTCATCTTTCCTCCTTTCCTTTCACTCCCTCCCTCCTTGCCAAATAAAAATGCTCCTGTACATTCACATTCTCTCTTGTGCTATAGTATAATTTGTGTACATTTTAGCATGTGATATAATGATTTCCTTTCATGTCAGTCTTCCCATCTGGACTGCAAACTCTTAATGGCAGGAACCATATTTTAATCATATTTGCATTCTCAAAACCTAATAAGAGCCTATAACATAGTAGTGGATCAATATATATAGCTTGAGGGTACAACTCTAAACAACAGAGATCCTAAAATTTCAATTATTTCTGCCTAGTTTAGATAAGACACTGTTAAATGCTACTCTCTTGGAATAAAAAATTGTATTTGTAGTTAATATTTCCCCCTAAAATGGACACTTTTTAACTTATAAAAGCAATATCTGACATGCTTTCAAATAATGCAGAAATGCAGAAAGTAGGAAGTGACAATCCTCCCAAAACCCCAGTGTCAGAATTATGAAGGTAATGCAGGCATTACCTTCCAGGCATTCTGGTGACTCTACTCTAGGCGGCAGACTTGAGCCGGCATTTGGAAGGATAACGCCGGACTCCGGAGTTTCGGCGTTTGGTCAAGGACAAAATCACTACCATTACTTTCAAAGGGAAAGGAGAGAGAGAATTGCTGCATTTCTTATCAAATTAAAAAAATTCAATGTTGGCGAATTTTTATGACTTTCTGATGTCACATGGGGAAGATGACAAATTGATTTTTTCCATAGGGCATGAAAGTAGAAAGAGGGTTTAAAATACTGGACAGACTATTCAAATTTGTTACAATTGTAAATTTTAAACAGTTTAGTGGTTGCCAGAGGCAGAGAGTGGGGGTGGTGGTGGTGAAGATGTTCTGAAGGCACAAATTTCCATTTATAAAATAAATAAATTCAGGGGATGAAAGATACAGCATGGTGACTATCGTTAATACTGTGTATATATTTGAAAGCTCCGAGAGTGTAGATCTTAAAAGTTCTCATCACAAACAATTTGTAGCTATTTATGGTGATGGATGTTAACTAGACTTATTGTGGTGATCATTTCATATGTATACACAAATAGTCAATCATCATGTCATAGCCCTGAAACTAATATAATGTTCAATATCAATTATTTCTAAGCAAACAAACCCCAGCTGTGAACTATGAAACCAATCCATTTTACCCAGCTTCTTTACACCATTTTGTGTATGCATGTCTGACCAGCAGCTCTTGAATGTCTAAGATTCTAGGGCCTAGGCATAACTTGCAGAAATGGGCTCTGCCTTTGGTTCATGAAATGCCAATCTCTCCCCTGCTTACTGGATTCCTTTGTACATTCAACTAAGATTTTGATTGCCTGCTGTGTGCTGGGGATCCAACAGTGAGAAAAGCAAAGAAAAGCACCTGTCTTTCAGGTGGGTGCTTACATTCCACTTAGGAAGTAAACAAAATAATCTACAATAACTTCCTCAATATTAGCAGAATAAAATCAAAATCTTTTAGTGTGGTATCAAACACCCCATCTGGTTGGTTTTCAAGCTTTGATAAAGTAGACACTGTTTCAAATTCTTCTATTTCCTTCCCTTTCTTCTCCCTTGGGTTCTGTGTGCTAACCATTTTTCTTGAGAGCACATGCTTTCATCACTGTTGTGTCAATTTGCCTGCCAGTGTTTTGGTGAAGGGAGGGTTAAGTGCAAACAAATGAAATCTTAGTAATGACTGTTGGGTTTGTTTACATTTTCCATTTGGGTACTGAATAGCCATTCATTAAGAGGTAATAATAATGTTGCGCTGTTCATAGGACATTTTAACATGATTAAGGAGTCAAACAAGTACTTCCCCAGGAATCTCTCTTCTCATCTCTGAAATACACGCATCACCTATGATTACTTAATGCATGTTCAAAGGTTGCTCACTGTGTTCTTATTAACCCTTCAATTTGCAAACATAGTGCAGGGAAGTGCAGAAACAAAAAGTGCAAAGGAGGGGAAATGAGAGAAACAAAATCAAAGGCCTTATAGAGATCACTTAATTCAAACCTGCCTCATTCAAACTTGTACTGAGCTAGGCACTGCCCCCGCAATGGACCTGACTGGTCTGTCCAGTGTTGACTTGCAGGGCTGGGGATGAAGGGGGTGGGGGGTTGGCTTTTACATTGATATGATTATGGTTGATATTGCTATTTCCTAGAGGAGAGTGCTGAGGCTGAGGCCTTTCTCCACCCTTCAGGTCCCTCAGGAGATTCCCTCAGGCATACATTCCTTTGCTGGCCATCATTCCTCAAAGAGCCTGCCTAAGTCCCACTACCCCATCACCCTACATACCCTCACACGTACCTCTCTAGTTTGTCAATTTTTTGTTTCAAATAAGATGTGCTTAGTCATAATGAATGAAAATGAGACCTTTTAAAAACATTAAAATAGAAAGTGTTTGAAAAAATTCTTTTTTAAAATAAATTTATTTTTTATTTATTTTTTACATCGTTCTTTTTTTTTTTTTTTACAATGTATACTTTCTCATCTCAGTTATAGTTCCTGTGAAAGTCCCACCACCAATTCACCCTTGTACCATCACCATAATTCCTTGTGCTATTCCCACCCGTTTTGATCCTACTCCCTTCTCACCCCTGCAGAATGTCTCTGGTTTATAGTTGCTTGTTGATTTTTGATTTTCACTTTATTATAATAACTTTTTTCCTGATCCCTTATTTGGATCCTCTAATTCCTCCTATAAGTGAAACCATCTGTATTTTTCTTTTTCTTTCTGGCTTATTTCACTGAGCATTATCCCTTCCAGCTCCATCCTTTTTGCTGCAAATGGCATGAGTTTATCTTTTGCTGAGTAATATTCCATTGTGTATATGTACCATATCTTCTGATCCAGTCATCTATTTTGAGGCATTTGGGTTGTTTCCATAGCTTACCTATTGTAAATAGTGCTGCAATAAACATAATGGTGCAGGTGTCTTTTTGAATTAATGTTTTTGTGTCCTTTGGGTAAATACCTAGGAGTGGAATTGCTGGATCATATGGAAGCTCCATTTTTAGCAGTTTGAGATATCTCCACACTGCTTTCCATAGTGGTGGACCAGTTTACATTTCCACCAGTAGTGCAGGAGAGTTCCTTTTTCTCCACGTCCTTGCCACATTTGTTGTTGCTAGTTTGTTTTTTTTGTTTTTTTTTTTTTTTGATATGTGCCATTCTCACTGGTGAGACACAGGGCAAGCTAGAAATTAGGCAGTTTTAGGGACAGTGCAGGAGGGGACCTCTGAAGAATTTAGGGAGGCTTCAGAGATAAGGACAACCAAGGGAAAGTAACCCATTCCACTAGGAAAAACAAACATCCCAGAACCAAGGACAACATTGTTAATGCTAGTCCTGGTTTCCTTCAGGTGGTAAAGGGAGGCAGAGATTGGAGAAATGGAGAGTGGTTTAATTTATGGACACATTTGAAGGGCAGCTGTTTAACTTCAATGCAGGGATGCCCATCCAGAGGACTGGGCCATAAAGATAAAGATGCAACAAATGGGGA